TTATCAGACGTATTAAAAATTCGTCCATAGAAAATGTAGAGAAAATTATTGCGGTTTTTTTGAGCTATATAACTCCTAGGAATGTCAAAAACTGAAAGAGGAGATAGATTTTTTCTGTAAAAAACTTTCGAAATGACCATTTTTGACATTTTTTCTTCCGGAAAAGGACCATACATTTGAATCATCTTGGAACTCCACAAAATCAGATAAAAAATTCTGAAATTTTGGTTTTAGACCTGCAATTGTGATCGCGCCAAACTTTTTTCTGTAGATCAAAAATTAATTTGCAGTTCGGAATTGTTCTGTGGGAGAGCCTGCTTTTGCAATAATTTCGAAATTTAATGCTTGGATGTTTCTGAAGTTTCAGAAACAGCAATTATTGGTTTTAAAATGTAAATCATTCCTGAATTCATCTACTATTAAGTGACTGCTACAACAAACACAGCACTATGATAATCACGAAAAAGACAATTAAAAAAAATCTAACTTTTTGGGATAGTCGATATGTAGAATCGATATTTTGACCCTAAAAATAAGAATTTTTAGCGAAAATCCCTTTTTATTAATTTCCGATTTCTGATAGTTTCACAGAAGTCACGACGTAACCAATGAAAGAACAGAATCTCAATTTTTAGCTAAACTTCTGAAATGGATGAAACGGTATTCACTTATCCTAAACCTTACACTGTTCTCATTGAGTTTTGGAAATATTTGTTCTTTAAAGAAAGCAGTTGTTTCAAATTCACCTGATTTCTCAAAAAAAACGGGAGTTGCTCACCACCAAAAAAAATAATTCCCAAACTAATTTTGACATTTCGAAACATAAAAAGTGTTACATTCTGAAAAGGAGTAATGTTTTTAGTGAGATTGTGGTGTTACATTCAAAAATTCATTAAAAAAAGACGGTTATTGTAGTTTTCTAAAAATGTAAGTATGAAGATTAAAAAGAAGTAATTTCCGAACTAATTTTGATATTTCGAACCAGAAACATTTTCGACCGTGATAATGATTCTGATTTTTCAATTAAATTGAGGTTTTGAAGTCAAAACACATACAAAAATAAACCTTTCACAAAATCTCATTACCGTACTATCTTTACGTTACTGTAGCTTTGGGAAACCTGCATTAGAAGCACGCCCCAAAATTGGCCTGATTTTTCTCGGTTCCTGTAAAAGACATCAAAATGTGGTCAATTGATAAATTGCTTATCATAATATCAAAAACATTTTGTTAGTTGATAACTTTTTGATATCCTTCACAAGAAATGAGATAAATTGGCATTAAGCTGGGCGACCCTCTGTGACATCATACAGTTTGATCTTTGAATCTCCCGCCAACACACAACGAGCCAAAAGTAAACTGGATCAACTTGAGCACACAAATTCAAAGAAAAATACACAATACACAAACACACATGACATGAAAATGACTGGAAATTGAGATAAAGGGAGAAAAAGCCAAAATAAATAAACAACCACCATCCGATTTTCACGATTTTTGAAATGACAGTCTAGCATAGAGCTTTTTGAAAATTGGAAAACAAAGACTTAGTTACTTGCCAGATAATTTGAAAAAATTTGGATTCCCGCCTGATCTTTTTTCAAAAAAATTTCTTTCAGCCGGCCGCAACGCTTGTCGCTACTGTCGTTTCCATCGCTGTCTATTCGTTGGAATGAAAATGGAAGGTTTGTTTTTCTCATAATTTAAAAAAATTGAAAATTCGAAACTTGAAGCTAGGTTCCTATTTTGTAGTAGAATTTCAAACAAAGTGGATTTTCGAGTTTTGAAAAATCAAGTTTTCGAGAATTTTTAAAGTTTCAAATAGCTTTTTACAGGTTATCATATATGTAGTAGCTAGTGGGTTAGAAACTAGTAGGTTAGAAATAATTTCCAAATTTCCAGCTGTGAAAATGGACCGAAAGTTGACAAAGCGCAAAAAAGAGAAAATGGATGGAGACGAATCGGATGATGGAGGGAATCCGGAGAGCTTGGATTATAAGGTAAGTGTGCAGTGGGACGAACTCAATGCAACTCTGGAAATCACATTAGATTCGAACTCCTTTTTTAATGAGTAACTGAAACTGTAAATAGTATTCCCAAGAAGCCTCCAAGCATACATTATGTTAGACACTTCAAAACTTTGATTTATCTCGGTTATTGTGAGAAATATCAAAAAGTGGTCAACTGACGAAATATTTCTGGTATTATGATAAACATTTTATCAGTTATTCACTTTTTGATATCTTTCCTTGCAGCTGAGATAAATTAGCTCAAAATGGAATCTTAGGTGGCGGTTACTACTTTTTGGTATCTCTCTTAGGAACCGACATGAACTGGGTCATAATGTAAGGACTCTTCTAATACAAGTATTAACAGTTCTATAATATCCCATCTAAATGTAAAGAGTGTCATGAGGGTAATGAAACAGTGAAAACGTAAAAAGTTTACATTTCAAAAAATTGCTATTTCAAAATGGTTATCAATTTGTGGTTCAGTTTTTGAAAGTGTTGGCAGTAGTGTTGGGAGTATTTTTGCATGTAAAAACCTTTATAAGTTAAAAAATTGACTGTTTGGGACAAAATCGCGAAGCAAATTTTAGAGATTTCAAGCTTAAAAACAACCCGTCTGTATTTTGAAAAAATTGTTTTGTGCCAAAAAACAAAACTTTTTTAGACCTTAGTGAATATAAAAATGGTCTAAAACGTCGGTGTCTTTGAAAAATTAAGGTTTTTTGCCATTTGAGAAAATCATAAACGAATTGGAATGTGTGTTTAGTTTTAGCTTGTAATTTTGGCAATATGCTGTAACTGAAACTTAATTTACCGTAACTGCACGTGGGTTCAGGCGAGGGGGTCAGAAAGCTCGCCCCAGCTAACTCGTAGGCCAGCCGAAATTAGCTAATTCAAAATGACACGTGGATTTCACGTGGTGGGAAAAATGGGGAAAAAACGAGAAAAAACGAGAAAAAACGAGCGAAACCGAACGAAAACATCGAAAAATATTGAAAAAATAAACGTGTCGGCCTAATGCATATGATTGTCAGTCAACAAGCGCCGGCAGCCAAATGAGAATTTTTGAAAAATTTACTGGGGCGCGCTTTTTTTCCCCCTCGCGTGAACCCAAGTGTAACTGCTCTATCACTAGTTTACTAACACTTTCAGCTCAATTATCGGTTCCCAAAAGAGATATCGAAAATCTGTCAACTGATAAAATGTTTATCATAATACCACCAACATTTTATCAGTTGACATTTTTTCGATATCAATTTTAGACATCGAGATAATTGAGTTTGAACTCCAAGCAGGGTATAAGTGCACAACATAAGAGGTTATTGAATTTCACTTTTTCACTTTTTCATGTATCAGCTATCTGAAACATTAGATTTTTGATTTTCGATAACTTTCTTACCGAAATTTCGAAAATCGGAAAAATCAAGAATAACTAAAAAAACAGCTTCTTATTTTGTTTCTGCTCGCTGAGCTCTTGCTCATCGCTCTCCTCTTCACGTGCACTTTCTGCAGTCTTCCTGCTGATGCTCCATCATGTCTCGATGGTGCCAGGGAGCACAGACGAGAGATTTAGACTAGAAAGCCAAGTGGTCATGACGTAAGAAGTTCAGAGTGTAGAGATGGAACTACTAGGTCAATTTTTGAAACTTTTGAGGAGAGGAAAGGAGCATTTGAGGGACCACTATGAGAAGGGTCTAGGTGAAAAAGATAATGAAATTTTACAAAAAATCACTGATTCAAAGATGTTGAATTAGATACTGGGGTTTTTGGTGTTAGTATTCCATATTTGTTACAAATGCGAAATTCCAAAAAAAAACAGATACGGAGATAAATTCACAGGACGAAGTAGGAAAATTGGAAGAATATCTGGAAAAAAATTCTTTGAGTGATGCTCTTTCTAATTAACAAAATTCCTGTTAGTTAAACATAAAGTTTAGTTTCAAATTTTTTGTTTTGCTTTTCAAAAAAAAGTCACAGATTCATAAAAAATGTTTTGAGAGGTTTTCAGTTTTCATAAGGATTGAATGTCCCTAACAAGGGAGGTCTTTTCAGAAAAGCTTTCAGAATTGTCTTATTTTTTTGACAGGGGTTAGTTCACCTCCTTAAAAAGCCACTGTCCAAATCTGTATATGCACTTTTTCCGAAAATGCTGAAATTTTTCGTCTGAAAGTTTCCAAATCCTGAACCATTGTAAACTCTCTTTTCCTCTGTTATTTCGCCTCCTCGCAACCTATCGGGAACCCCGTTCACTTGTACCCCGTTTACGATGTAAATCATTGAGAAAGCTTGGAAACAGGAAATAATTTGAAACGAGTTACTGTAATGAAAGTGAACTATCTTGTAAACACATATCTAACCGCAAAATTTAAGTTCATGTTTTCATTGACTCAAAAAAAGCTGCACTCATTAGGATAACTTCATGAAACCGTGAATTTCTTGAATCTTTCTCTACTTTGACACCTTGATCTCAAAAATATCGGTTTCATGAAATATGTTTAAACGTGTTTACCACAGTAGAAGTGATTTTTTTATTATGGCCATTTTCAATATTTCTGTGGAGAACCGAAATAATCGTGGTCCGATTTGGTTCCTGGATGTTGACGAAGTTCATAGTGTCTACTAAACATATAATAAGTCATTCTAAACTTATAGGACTTCAAGGACTGGCAGTTCAACTGTACCAGACCCGAAAAAATTAGTCAATATTTGAAAAACCCAAAATTCCAAACATTGCAATTTCCTTTATTTCCAGATCGACGCGAAGCGTGCCCGATCCGACAATCATTTGTTGATCTCATCACTGTTGCTCATCGACAAAACGTCATCGGACGGCAACGCAAAACTCTCATCCCTTCACTTCGTCCAGCCATCGCTTCAGAATCTTCTCGAAGAACCAGAACTTCTTGACGGTTTTCGCTCGGAAATGAGTTATCGAGCGACTCGACAGGCCGACGCACAGTTGTGTTACGACACTGAACGTCGGTTGGTTACTTGGGCAATTGACTGGTGTCGTCAAACGGCCGAAATTGGAGATGTGCATCACACAAATGATAAGGTGAGAAATAAAAACCTGGCTGGAGTGGTGCCCATATGAAAAAGTGTCCTTATGAAAAATAAAGGAGTATTATGGATCTACTGAAACTGGAAAAAAATAAAGTACCGGAAAACTGTAACTTTCTGCTTATTAATCCAAAGTTCTAGCGTTTCAAGGAACTTTTTCTGACAGCTTGATAAAGCCTAGAATTCGTAATTTTTGATTGAATGAAAATTATCAAGAATGAAAAAAAGATAAGCTTGTGGGAAGTATAATTGGACCAAAAAATATCGGTTTCATGTAGTAAATATTTTGATTGAAACTTAAAATTTTCGATCGTATCATTGATATTAGACAAACTATGAACACCAAAAGATGTTGAATACACCTTAATTTTGTCTGAGTGTCCAACTCTTACCAGGTCATTTTCTAGTATCTGCAATTCTACAACTCCCTGGGGAACCCTGCCAATCAAAAAAATGTAAAAAATACTGTATCAAACTTGCCATTAACTTTTTCTCAGTACTGAAATTTTTAATAGATTGAACGTTCGGTGAGTTTACCAATTCGGGGGTACGACGAAGTACAAAGTGATTTAGGGGTACAAAATCCAAATTGTGGATTTCGTATACCTCAATCACTTTATACACCAGTGACCCCAAAATTTGTGTTTCCTCCAATCTAACCATGAAACACAAAAAGTACTGTATCAAACTTGTCATAAATTTTGCGCTTTTCTAAAGCTTTCAATTGCAAATGCTGTTAAAATTCCATTATACCCCCCCCCCCCCCACACACAGTTACGACCCCACACGTACTGGAATAACCCCCCACCCCGTTGAAAAGTGGGGGGATAAAAAGGTGGGGTCTCAAAATGGGATGATCAGGTGGGGGGACATTTTAGAGTTCAGAATATCCCCCCACCGCTGATTTGGGGGGGGGGGGGGTTATATTGGAATCCGTGGAAATCTTTCATTATAACCCCCCACACCAAACCAATATGCACCCCCGAAACGGAAACTTCAGAATACCACCCCGCGTGGGGGGTCAGATTGGAACGGATTGCGGGGGAGGGGGGTCATATTGAAATGATGGGGGGCTTATTTGAAATCTTAAAAATTTCTAGGGGCCTTGTTTTCAAGGTATACGCCGATTTAGGGTGCTAAGCTTATTTTTATTTGGAATCTTCAACATTTCTACCCGTTTTTGCCTAAGCCTATTTTTTGTTGGGGACTGGCATTAAATAATTATTTCTCTAGTAAAATGACAAAAAATGTACGGTAATATAAACCAGAAATCAGGAGAAGTTGAGAAAAAAGTAGAAAAAACGCCGAATTCTAAAGAAAACTAACAAAAAACCGGTGCAAAATCGATAAATAACAAATATTTTCTATGCGTAATTTGGCTGCGTACGTTTGATCTTCAGGCAAAAAATCAGGAAAAACATTTTTTGAACCCCCCACCCACCTTATGAAAGATGGTGGGTGGGGGTGTATTCCAACATTTATACCAGGGGTGTTATATTAGAATGTTTCGGGGGGCTATACTGGAATATACCCGCAAATCTTCAATAAATAGAGCAGTTTTTTTCAGATCGCTCTTTTGCGTGCATGCTGCGCACCGTTGGTTCTTCTCGAACTCGGCTGCCAATCGTCTCAATTCGGCAATTCTGACACACGCGTTCCCTTATGTAACAACTCTTTTCTAACCGCTCACCAAGCGCCACCGTCCGTCTCGTTCATCAACTACAAGACCATTCAGTCGTTGAACAAATGGACACAACGTGAGCTCAAACCACTCTGCTTGAAAGCCAAGGAGATTGTGCTGCTCAAGACTCTGGTCATTCTTAATCCCGGTGAGTTATGGGGGTTGGTGGGTATGGGGTCATGGGTTCATACAACTTTTTGAGGACACATAGGACCATTGATACTAAAAGTCTTCAGTGCTTTCTCGACGTTTGATTACCGGGTCTTTTGTATTTGAACCATTGCTAGTCAGTTTGTGACCAAGTAGCTCAATTTGAAAACTTTCCCGCTTAGCAACAGAGCGCACTTCACTTCTCCATGATAACGGCGTTCCGAAGCTCGTAATTCGCATTCCCAATTAGTCTATTTTCCGGGAAAACCATGGCAGTCATCAACTTTTAACTGTCAATTTGTGCAAGAAAAATCACCGAAAAAGAGCAATGAAACGAGCTGATAAGGAAAGGAATTTGATCGGTAGAGGGTCAAGAAACAGTCAGTGCCGTTTCCGGCGCAATGCACAGTGAAACATAAAACTGTTTTTACTGCTTGGGGAATCTGCTAAATTAGACAAGTGTTGAATTTGAATTACTGAATTTATCATTTTTCAGACGCCCCAGGACTATCCCAAGAGGCCGAATCGTCGATCCGTATGCTACGAGACCGTGTTCACACGACACTCTTCCAAATGCTCATGGAGAGCTCTGAACCGGTTGCCGCCGCGTCTCGTCTCTCGCAAATCTTGCTTCTCATTCCACAACTTACGGTAAGTGATTTCCAGATTTTTGGCACTTTGAATATACAAGAAGCGTTACAATAGAAAATAATGAGATGTTGAAACTGTTATTTTGGACTACCGTAAGAAGCTTTAATAGAAGGTCCTCGATTACTTTCACCCAATTTATATCGTTTCCTGTAAAATATAGCAAAAAAGAATAATTGAAGCCAAAATTTTCCGTTTTGTGGATGACATTTTGTTCATCATGTTTCCGGCTTTTTCAATACAACTTTAGTTATCCGAGTAAAAAAAAAACATCAATATTTTTCAGCTAATGGGAGTGGATGTGATCGAACAAGTGCGTGTCCGTAACACTTTCAACAAGCACTCAGCATTCGGAGAAGGAATTTTATTCTGGCAACTCTACGGAGACATCTTCGACGATCAGAATTCCGATGACTCCTCATCGTACCTGGAGCACTCGGCATCGTGCAGTCCGACCGATAGTCAGTACAGTACGACCGACAGCAGCTGACTAGCAGCGTGGAGTCGTCCGGTTGGTGTTTCTCCATTCTCGACGTCTACTGAATCTCTAATTTCTTCGAAAAAGGAAATTGTGATGAAGAAGGGGTTGGGGATGGATGGGACACTGACTGCTGACGACATTTATGACCTCGGACGACAAGAATATAGGGATGCTGGGTTTTTGGTGAGTTTTGACTTATTGGTAAAAAAATTTAATGAGGAATCATATGAAGAAGAAGAACCTGAGACCATTTTGAAACTGTAAAAAAACTGGGAACGTTGATTCAATAAACCATTTTTTGGATACAGACATAAAATGTGAAAAATTTTCTATCATCTGTTGAAGTAAGGTTTTTGAAAAGGAGATTTTTTTGAAAAAATGTATCAAGTTACAATTTGCATCACTGGTTTCCGAAATCGATACAATATAATAGTGGATATCTCATTAAAGGCGCAAAGCCAAATGAACAAAAGAATATAGAAGTCCCTTAATAATTTTTGCTAATTTTTCTCAATTTTTCGACGATGTTCGTCTTTTAATTCGATTCTTAAAGATTTACAAATACGGTTTTGGAATCGCTGAAATTAGCATAATAGTGAAACAGTAATGTGAAGCTTACTACACGATACGAAATTGGTTCAGTTTGGTTCAGTTTTGATTCTTTATAAGTAATATCATAATTCAGAATTTGCAACATTTATAAGTATTATCCTCTCAAGAAAACGAAATTACGAAACATCGAATACTTTTTCAGAACTCAACCACTACCATCCCATGCAACACCTACCAATATTCACCATATTCCACATATTTTCCTTTGTCAAATTAAAAAATTTCTCTATTTTCTTGTCGTCCCAAATCATGAATGGTATTAGAAAATTTCGAACTTTTCTCATTTTAAGATTTTCAGCGAAAAATTCAAAATTTCGAATATCAACTTTTTTTCTTCCTAAATTTACCTCTTCCACCTTCCACCTATTTCTTTTTTTCAATACTCTAATAACCCCTAAAAAACATTGTAAATATCTATTCAACCATCCACGAATGCATATTATCTCTCTTGATTTTTCTCTGCGTCTCTAATTTTCACTTACTCTCTCTGCTCCCTCATTTTTCTCATTTATTACTTTTGGTCCCAACTAATTTTTCGATTTTCCCCACTTTTTGTTCACCTCCTGTTTTCCCTTTCCTACATTTATTGAAAATTCCCGTATATTATTTTTCAACAAAAAAATTCAAAAAAAAAAAGAAAAGAGTGTTTCGTCAATTCGTGATCGTTGTTCATCCCAATGTATTGTTTTTTGAAATCTATGCATTTTCGTGACCTAATAAAAGACGACGCTCTGAATACTTTTTTATTTTCTTCTCCGTTTCAGATTTTCCACACATACGGAAAAAAATTTTTCAGACGATTTTTTTGTTGTTTTGGTGGCACTCAAAAGTTAAGAAATTCGAAATTCTTGAAATGATTGTAAATTGAGCAATATGGAAGTATCTCTAATTTTGAAAATAATGTTTTACCGTTTCCGGAATTCTACATTCACCCTACTGGGTGAAAGTGAAGTTGTTAATAAACCGGGAAAAACTACTTTCTGATTTAAATCAGATTGGAAGTTCAGATGTTGCCTCAAACGCAGAAAAACACCGAAAACTTTTCATTTTCAGCAAAAAAGATGAATGAAAAGTCGTTTAAGCCGTTTTCGGCTCAAAACACAATGTCGTGAAAAATGAGAAACAATTTTCGTGCTGTTTCGGAGGTCTGGTAAATTGGGAGAGAGGAAAATGGAATCTACTTACAAAGGAAACTTTTCTGTGTGTGTGTCTGTGTGTCCGTCTCGGACATTTACTTGAATAACTCAAAGGGACGTGGGACTCCTATAGTGGTGTGTGGTATGTAGTCATGGACTGCCGAGCGCTTCATGTCTATGGTGTACTGGGCCTTCTAGCTAACAGGGAAGCTACAGTGTTGAGAGTCGAAAATTTCAAAATTATGCTCAAACTCAATAAAACTTCACGATATTTTGCAAACCGGTTTTTTGGCCTATCTATGTGTTGCCTGCATAAAATTGAGCACAAATCTTCAGAACTGGAAAATTTTGAAAATTTCGTTTCTTTTGTATATCACTTGAATTTCGATCCTGTGGACTACTGGAAATGGGTCATAGTAGTTTCCTTTTGAATACAAGGTTCTTGAGTTATGCAGAAAATTCCAGAAAATTCTACAGAATTCTACAATATTCTAGAAAATTCTAGAAAACTCCAAAAATTTCAGAAAATTCGATTAATTTCCAGAAAATCGAAAACATTCAAGAAAGATAACGAACATTTCTTAAATTCTAGGAAGTTTCAGGAAATTCTCGAAAATCCCGGAACTTTCCATAGAATTCTAGAAAATTCCAGAAACTTCCAGAATGTTCCAGAAAATTCTAGAAAATCCCAGAAAATCCCAGGAAGTTCCAGAACATTCTAAAAAATTCCAGTAAATTCCAGAAAATTCCAGAACATTCTAGAAAATTCCAGAAAATTCTAAAAAAAATCTAGAACATTCTAGAAAACTCCAGAAAATCCCAGAAAGTTCCAGAACATTCTCGAAAATTTCAGAAACTTCCAGAAATATCCAGAAAATTCTAGAAAATCTCAGAAAATCCCAGGAAGTTCCAGAACATTCTAGAGCATTTTAGAAATTTCCAGGATATTCCGTTTTTTTAATGCTCAACGTAAACCCCTGTTTAAGGGGCAAAAAATCCGCAATTCGGAGGTACAAAATACTGAAAAAGGCTCAGTTTTGTACCCCCAAACTGTGGGTTTTGTACCCCTAAATCATTTTGTACCCCTTTCTACCCCCGAATTGTTGTACCCTCCAAAGGTTTTGCCTGAAAAAAGGAGAAGCGTTCTCCATAAGTATACAGGTATTTTAATCACTTCCCTATTTTTTCAAGGTGATCTGAAACCAAAGGCTTAGAAGTAGGCTGTGTGTGGGTTTTTTAAATATCTGAATTTCAAAAACCCTAACAATCAGTAATTAGGAAATCCAGGAACATTCTAGAAAAAACAAGAGATTCTACATGTGGGCATCTATTCGAGAAAGTACGGTATTCAAAAATTCCGATATCGGGAAAATATAACTTTTGAAAATAAAGAAACTCGGAAATTTCGGACACACGGAAAGTGGGAATTTCTGAAATTAGGAATTCAAATGTAAGATAAAGTAAACAAAACCCAGGAGGTTGAGCCCCCGGCAGGGGGCTCAAACCGACTGGTATTGAACTAATGAATAAAACCTACCAATTTATACGAATCAATGATAGTGTTGGCGAGAGTGTGAATTTTGACGTGATCTCCATAAATGTTTCTTCTATCGCTAAAATTTTCAAATGCTTCATATTTAGGATAATAGTGGAACAGTAATGTGAAGCGTATTCCTCTACAGTGTTCGTAAAAATCTCAACTTCGTGTAACTTTCAAATAGGTTTCCTGTACGAATTCAGCAACATTTCACTCCTAAATTCAGTAACTAAATTGTTTAAAGGCAAAGTTTTAAAGTAGTTTTCCATATTCCGCATAATGGTTAAAAACTGTATTTTCATTAATATCACAATTCTCAAATAGTAATCTTGAGAAATGGTCAGAGAGTTGTGGTTTATCGTCGAATTAAAAACTGAGACCTGAGAATTTGAAAAACGTTGCTTTTTATCCTCCGATCCTGGGTCCTGGGGCCCAAGATCTCCGGATCCCATGATTTCCCAAGAACTCCCAGGATTTCCCAGGATCTCCCAGGATCTCCCAGGATCTCCCAGGTCTCTCCCAGGATCTCAGGACCTCCGAAACTAGGATCAAGGATCCCCGGATCCAGGATCCCCGGATCCAGGATCGGAGGATATCCGGATCTCCGGACCCGAAATCTCCGGTTCCAAGATCTCCGGTTCTCCAGACACAGGATCTCCGGATTTCCGGATCTCCGGACACAGGATCTCCGGATATCTGGATCTCCGGATCCAAGGTCTCCGGTTCCGAAATCTCCGGTTCTCCGGACCCAGGATCACCTGATTTCCGGATCTCCGGACTCAGGAACTCCGGACCCAGTCTCTGTAGCCCAGAGAAGGGAGAACTGATTGTTCCTTCTACTTCCTTCTTCTTTCATAGCACTCACCCCGGGGTTAATGAGCGTGGGTTTCTAAACCAGTTCACGTAGTTTTTTTTGTTTATAATTTTACATTTTTCCAAAAAATTTTTTTCTATGAGGATTAAAAAAAAGGTTTTTTCGTCACGTTGAAATAACACTTGAATTTTTACTTTTCAAATCTGTGAAACTCGTTAATAAGATCCTCCCTTTGACCCTAATTATCCCGTTTTCTGTTTGAGGTATCAAAAAATGTTTAACTGATGCATTTTATTGCACCCGAAAAAAAAATTCGCGCCCTGAGGAGTTAGTAAAGCTTCGCAACCGATCTGAAACGGCCAGTTGCAAAAACTTTAAAAAGCTTAGAATTTTCTGAAAATTTCTGAAAGAAATGTGGTAAAATTGCCAAAAAAGTCAGATTTAAGCAAATCAGGAAAAATTTTAAGACAGATTGAACGAATAAAAAATGTCAAACATAGAGTTTAAAGAATTTCAGAAGTTTACAATTTCTAAATTTGGAAAACTTTGAAATTTCAGAATTCTCGCAAAATTCAAAGAAAAATTCCCGAAATTCAGAAAACTAAAAAATAATTTGTTTCGAAATTTCGAATTTCGGGGGATTTTCTGGAATTCCTACAAATTCTGAAATTACGAAAACGTAATTTGCACTCCGTTATCAAAAATCAAAGTTTTAAAATAATTCCAATGACTTCTAGAATTTTCGAAACATTAATTTTTTCTCAATTCTTATCAAAAAGAAATTTCCTTTTTTGGGAACTTTCTAGAATTCCTGGAAGTTCTCTAAAACATACATAGATTGAAAACTTTTCATTCACAGAATTTTTGAAATTCTTGATTTTTTCAGCTGTTTTCCGACTTTTAAAAGACACCTGCTTTTAAAATGTTTTCAGTACGAACTGTATCACCTCAACAACCAAAACCCACAACGAAGAATTGAATAACATGATCTGGAAAACACAGAAAAAATATGTTCATTAAAGATCTAGAGCTAAAATAACTAAAGAGATAACATTTTCGAAAGTTTCCAAAACACAAATAATTTTTGTGGGAAAATTCCAAAAGTACACCCAAAATTAATGTTTTTCTAATCGAAGTTTTTTGAATTTTCACAGAAGTTTTCGATTTCAAAAAAGGTCGCTGAAAATGCAAAACTTTGGAAATGTAAATAAATTATAACCTCGTTAAAATAGACATTCCTGAGCTACTATGTATGAGCTAACTGTCCTAATAATGAAAACAAAAGGAAAATTTGATTTCGAAAAAAAATTCACAATTTTTAATGTACTTTCTAATTTTTCCCAAACTTTTTGTCAGCTTAACCAATCAATTCCTGAAAACACATTTCTGTGAAACAAGCTTAATGAAACAGTGATTTTTTGAATCCCAAAAAACCTGATAGAAACATTTTTTTGAAAAAAATGTCTGTTTCAGTAAATCTATGAAAGAACAATGAATATCGCAATCTGATTCCACTCCCAATCTAATTTCTTTTCGGAACTTTGTTAGAAAATTTTATGTTACCGTTTTTTGAAATTTTTCTGAAGATTATGATTTTTACTTGTTTCGGTTATATTTTGTTGTAAATGTTCTAGCAATCATATGTTTCCCATCAAAAATCATAAATTTTGCTCAGGAAACCACATCGTTAAAATTGAAGAAACTAAATCAGTTTTGGCTTATTGAGACGGACCCTATCGACACAATTGACGACATCGAGATTCTCGAAGTCCGGTACACCATTTCTCAAAAACAGGCACGCTCCACCTATTCCATCCGAAACGCATCAACTTTTTATTCGGATCTATCCCTATTTCCAAGTTTCAACAAAATCATTGTCCTCTTGGCTTTCCATCAAAAGTGCAATAATAAGAATTCTGAAGTTGTTTTCAGAAAGACTGTGTCCATAATTCCGATGCCCATACATTTTACCCCATAATTTCAAACTTGTTGGGAAGCTCTGAGCGACGGCATTGTCCGAGACACATTTCGAATTCTTTTTCACAATATACTCGGTCATTCTCATACTATCCACACCTCGATAGTCTGGATGAATCCAGTAGAATCCTAGGTATTGATGTGGG